TCATCCAGCTCTACACCTTGTTATCTCAGATTCTCCAGCATCTGCAGTTCCTACTATCTCTGAAACAATTCAGTGACCCTGGCCTCTGCCATCTTCTGAGGCAGCGTTCCAAAAGTGTACAACCCTCTGAGAGGAAAAAACAAAATCCCCTCAAACTCTGTCCTAATTGTAAAATCGCCAGCCCTAGTTCTGAATTGATTCTGTATAACCTTTTCTCGTTTGACAACTCGCGTTTTCCCGATTTCAATCTAATAAATAAAATCAAAATACTGCAGATGCTGGAAATCTGAAACAAACAGAAAATGATGGAAAAACTCAGCAAGTCTGGCAGCATTGTGGAGAGAGAAACAGTTAACATTTGAAACCAAAATACTTCTTCAAAACTGAAAGGGTGGAAAGTGATGTTTTTATACTACTGACAGAGATAGAGATGAGCAAGGGGGGAGGCCCAGTGCAAAAGCCAAAGGGGTTGTTAATTGGGGTGAAAAAGTAATAGAGATGTAATATGGGTGTAAATTCAATCTAGAATTTAGTAAAGGGTGAAAAATGTGAGTAAAACCAATCCAGTAAACCTCTGAACTGCATCCAATATATTTATATCCTCCCCTAAAAATAAAGTCCAAAACTGCACTGAACACAGTATTCGAGATGTTGGTCTCATCAATGTCCCATATTGTGTTCTAACCATTCCTAATTATGTCCTGCTGATTTCACATCTGTGTTTATACCTCAAGTATATTTTTGGCTTTTACTGTACAGTTATTGTTTCAAATATCCATGTATGTGTGTCCTTCCTTTCAATTTCCCCATTGTCGTTTGTGAAAGTGCTTATGTAAACTTGTCAACCAGTAATTATTATTTCCTACCAGTGGAGATGCTACATTCATGGTGTTAAGAGGAGAACATGTAAGTAGAATTTGATATTTTTACCTAGGGGCAACTTCCATCATAAATGTGGACATTGAATACTGTAATTAAACTAATAGAATGATTGAAAGAATACACTTGCCTCAACTAGTCACCATCACTTGATTGTCTGCTTTGTGTCCCAGTGACTAAACTAGACACAATCATCTAGGTAATTTTAATCAGAACACTTTACAATGTGAAGATGACTTCCTCCAGCTGTTTTGGCTATATAGTTTAACATTCTGCAGATGCTAAAAACAATGAACTCTGGAAAACCCAGCACACCGGAGCATTTTATAAAGACATAAACAGACTTAACTTTTCAGACCCTTGTCTTGTCATCAAAACTGTAAGAAATTAGAGATTTAACAGTTCATAAGTAATGCAGATAATGAGTCTGAGATACTGGGTCACGGGAAGGAAGTGACAGAAGAAATGGTTTGGAATGGGAGTAAAAAATTATAAAAAGGATGATGGGGCAAAGCTAAAGAATGATAGTGATAAGCCAAAAAAGAAATAAAACATGGTTATGGAGAAGGTATATATTTCAGGAACACTACACCTGTTCTGAGAAAAGGGAGCAGTGACTGAGATTTGAAATAGTTGAACTCTGTATTGAGGCTGGTACATTCTAAGATTTCTGATGACAAGATGTAGTCCTTTTATTTTAAAATTCCATTGACTTCATTGGAACAGTGTTGGTGAGTAAATGGAGGATGGTAAGACTGGGATGTAAAGTAGCAAATGACTCAGTGTTACAGTTGGACTCTGAAGACAGCTATTCAACAAAACCCAGTCACTCAATCTGCATTTGTTCTTTCTGAAGGGCTCAACCTTCTGTTCCCTTTGTTGACTAGTGCTCTGTATTGGTTGAGTATGGTGAGTATCATGTTTTATGACTCCTACATCTTATTTTCAAACATTTTCTGATTGTCTAGATGCAACATGTCTTAAGTGTTGCCATAACCTATTGAGATGTCATTTCCATTGTTTGAGAAATTCAATCGTAAAATGACAGGAACTAAATTCTTCTGCAAGATGGATATCAAGCCCACATATTGGTCAGTTCAATGGCAAAGGAATGTCAACAAATCACTACTTTCAGAACACCAATTGGAAAAAATTGCATCAAGAAACTAGCTTTCGGTCTATCTGTCAGTCAGGATCTGTTCTAGGAAAATGTGCACAGAATTACAAAAGGTATTTCTGTATGTTTTGCTGGCAATATTGCAGTGATGCACAAACTCAGAGAAGGACAATAAATAAAATCTACACTCCCGCAATATTGGTTTGTCATGAAGTACTCATAGTGCTAGGAAAATGTAAGTCAGGTCAACTTTTTTTTTGTGCTATCTATTCATGTTATAGCATCCATCCTTTCTGAGGCAAAGTTGAAAATGTAAGATGCATGCCTGGTCCCTAGGGCAAAAAAAAACTGCAGAAATGTCTTGGACTTTTAATTCACTGGCATCACACATACCAAATCTTTCCAACAAAGCATTGTTATCAAAAAAAATGCTCAAGGAAAGACATTCCATATGCATGGCAGGAGGACCATCAGCTCGTGGTCAAACCACTTAAGCTTTTTCAGCAGAAACTTGTATTCTACTGCACTACAACCGACAGCAATACACAAATCTGCAAGTCAAAGAGCTAGAAGTGGGCATCTTGAAAGCTATCAAACTAGTTGCATCTGGATCCAAATGTCTATCGCAGCATTTCAACATACAACATCCAACAAGGGCAGTCATACTCGCCTCTCCTTTGGGCAGCTCTTTTGTCCATATTTAAATCAAAACTACAATGAAGTCAGAAGCATTGTGGCCCTAACAGAACCCAAACTGAACATAGTGGGCAGGTAGTTGCAGAGCAGAGTTGCTTGATAACATTGTTGATGACCCTTTCTGTTACTTTACAGATGATCAAGGTAGACTGATGAGATAATAATTGTTTAGGTTGGATTTTACCTGCATTTTGTGTACAGAACATACCTGGTCAATTCTTCACATTGTTGAGTAGATGGCAGTGTTGTAGTGGTACTGGAACAGCTCAGCAAGGGGTGTGGCAAGTTCTGGAGCATGTGTCTTCAGTTCTATTGCCAGAAACTTGTAGGACTCATAAACTGTTGAGCCCATCTGTGATGCTGGGGATGTCAGGAGAAGGCTGAGATGGATCATCCACTCAGCATCTCTAGATGAAGATAGTTGTAAATGCTCCAGCTTTATCTTTTGCACTGATATGTTGTGCTCTCCCATCATTGAGGATTAACCTCCTCTTGGAGTGAGTTGTTCAATTGTACACCACCATTCACAACTGGATATTCAGAACTGTGAAGCACAGATCTGATCCTTTGGTTGTAGAATTGCTTAGCCCCGTCTCTCACTTGCTGTTTATGCTTTATGGCATGCAAGTTGCCCTGTGTTGTAGCTTCATCAAGTTGACATTTCATTTTCAGGTCTGCCTGGTGCTGCTCCCGCATGCCCTTCTGCACATTTCATTAAACAAGATTGATTCCCTGGTTTGATGGTAATGATGGAGTGGGGGTTACACTAGGACACAAAGCTGCAGATTATTTTTGAGTAAAGTTCTTCTGCTGATGATGGCCCACAGCACTTTATGGATGCCCAGCCCTGAGTTGCCTGTTGAGCCCTTTTAGCACAGTGATTGTGCCACACATCACAGTGGAGGATATTCTCAATGTGAAGATCTGGATTTTGACTCCGCAGGAAGTCTCAGGTGGTCACTCCTACCAGTACTGTGATGGACTGACGCATTTATGTTTTTTTCCCTCTTGTTGGTTCCCTCTCTACCTGCCACAGACCCAGTCGAGCAGCTACGCCCTTTAGGACTTGATCAACTTAGTTAGTAGTGGTGCTGCCAAGACACTGTTGATGATGGACATTGAAGATCCCCTCCTACAAAAATAAGCTTGAATAATGAATGTGTGGAGCAGTCCCAGGATAGTGACCAGCAGCAGTAATCACCTGCAAGTTAATACGCACAGTGCTTGAAGTCTAAATCTCCGGAAAAGTTTAACCATCATAAGATCTGAAAAGATCGACGAAACACTTGCATGTAATACAAATTTGTGGACTCTTGAGCTCTTAAATTTTTTGATTATTGTTTCTCTGCAAATAGCTTCGCAGTAACCCTAATTTATACTATTTTCACTCTTTGTCAATGTAATTTTGTCATGGAGAAAAAACAGAATGTTCTATTATTGCTTTAAGGACTAGGTATGCTAATAAGCAAAGGACCAGGGTGAAATTGCATAACTAAATACTCTGCGTAGTCTATCAGATATGTGCAAGAAACAAGTTGCATGCATAATTATCTGTGACAATAAGTTGTAGTTTGTATTCTCAAATAACCCTGTATGAGTTTGCAAGTAAGGTTGTTGACTTGCTCACTGAGCTGGCTGGTTGTAGTTCAGACATTTCATCACCATGCTAGGTAATATCATCAGTGCGGCTTCCAATGAAGTGAGATAGATACTAAGCGGAGCAGAACTACATGTTCTGGCCTGTTGAGGTATTTTGTGTCATTTCCAGTTCTTTTTTGCAAGGGTTTGTATATGGGGTCTAATTCCACATATTTGTTATGGGTGGAGAACCAGGCCTCTAGGAATTCCAGTGCATGTCTATGGTTGCCTTGACCTAGGATGTTCACGTCGTCCCAGTTAAATTGATGGCCTTCGTTGTCTGAGTGCACTGAAGAACCTTAAAGTTTGAAAGTAAACTGACTCCAAGTAACTTAACAATGACAAAAAATAACACTATCCATCCATGGGAGCTTACTGTTTCTGTGCCCTTTTTTGCTCCAGCAATGTTTATTACTTACAACTTCAAAATCTGGAGTCTCGTCCATCTTGACGTGCATCTTCCACCAACAGATTGGAAAAGTTTTAAAACAAAATACCTTGTTACGTTGAAAAAGAATTACAATAACTAATAATGGTTGCAGTACTTTGTGAAGAAAACTTGTGTTGACAGGTAAAATTTATTGATTGGTAGTACCAAACTTGAATGTTGCTGAAAGAGAGATATGTTCCCAAAACATTACGAACAGGGAAAAACCAACACAAGAAGTCAAAATTTAAATGATCAAATCAATGTGATCATTTGAAATTTGGCATCCTCACATTCATCCTGGTGAGTGCAAGATGATAAGCAATGTCAACATATGTCTTTCAATGGACAGTTTATTTTTGTTTATTAAAAACATATCCTAGAACAATTCTTAGTTGTTAGTTGTTAGTTTTTGAAACTGTCCTAATTGTACATTCTATATGCATTTAATGGACAGAATGTTTTAAAATACTACCTTCACTTACAGCATGTCATCAATAATTCAGAAAGTATTGAACTCATCCAGATGTGAAAAAATTGATATATAATTATAAAATATTGTCATTGTAAATGTTTAATTATTTTGGAAGGATTACATTGAATGATTGATATACATTTTTGTGTCTGTCAAGGAACTTTTGAATGCTGAACTAAAATATTATAAATCTAAATCGCACAAGTACAGAAAACTACAAGATTGGTTTAAAAAGAAATTGGAAAAAGTGTGCAACCAATATATTTCTAACAGTTACAGTCCTGTGGTAAGTAAAAGTTTAATACAGCATAGTAATGAAAATAGGGCATTATAACTGATTTTACAGCTCTTGTTATGATCCCAGCTGATGTTTTTACTGAACAAGTCAGATGCCAGACAGGAGCGTGGTTTGATTGATTGTTAAAACCAAAACAAATAAAATTACATAGTGTTCTCCTGCTGAAACATACACAGTGTAGTAGATTTTGCTATAAGAGTTTATTACAAAAGAAATGAATAATAGAATGATCCAAGCGATCTACTTTATAATAGAAAGTCAAAGGTTTTAAACACACTGTAAAAGTATAATCCCGGTACTTCCAAAACACTCCTTTATAAAATGAAAAGGAACAAAATAGCTTTTTTGTGGTGCTCAAAACACTACACTTGGTACAGTTCCCATAAGCGCCACTCGTAATGCTCACATCAAAATCCCTGTATCTAATGCCTTGGTGGGTTTAAGTCCACTATTAGACTGAAAGCGATAGCTTCTTTCTGCATCTACCACGCACATGAACTTCAATGTATTCAGCTAAAATAACTAGTTCCATATTTTTATCTGAGCACTTCTGGTCTGGGAGTGACACTAACCTTTCACTCCAAGATAATCTGTTTGCTAAATCTCTTATTCCTCTCTCAGGAGCACAACTGTAGACAGCCTCCTGTTCAAAGGTCTTTCCAGGACTAATGCTACCAAAGTTAACAGTGAAACTAAAATTCTGTCAGTTATGGGTGTTTCTCTTAAGTTTAAAATAAAAAAAATCCAGAATCTTCTAATAAACCCTTAAGGCCCCATTAAATGCTGCATCACAAATATTTCATTAGTTCACAAACCTATTCACTCTTAAGCCAGGCTTTAAAAATTGTTTTGTAATGAAATCACCATTGTTACAGATGTTCTTAAAACCACAAAAACCTATCTGTTACTAATTCAAAAACCAGACCCAACCTCACCTCAAATATCATTAAATATTGTATACACGAATTACGCATTTAACATCACTTTTTACAAAAACATACTTTATGTCAACACCAGTCCTTGCACAGTATATTCTCAAAGTAGCTACTCTTGATGTATGAGCTTTGGATATTAAACCATTACTCATGTACATGAAAAGTGTCAGACATAAAATTTATGCCTCAAAATTTAAAAATGTTCAAGTAAAATAGTATATGTATACCAAAATGCAACACATAAAATGCACATTTGTCAACTAAACTATTGGAAAAATCTTCAGGAATTTATTTCCCTTGGGCTCTGAAACATTTCATGTGAATATGAGGATATTTTGCACATTCATTTTTATTTTTGTATTACAGATTTTTTAACTGGAATTTATGTCCCCATGGGAGGCTTGTGAGGTTAACAAATATCTGCCATGATCACAGTATTTCATTAATTATTCTTTTTCGGGCTTCGGTATTGTTGACTTGTGGGCATATCATTGTGGTTACGAGCAACTAACTCCTTTTACATAAATTGATATATCCTTTCTAACTTTGGATATAGGAGTTTTTAAAAGTGAGACATTGTTTATAGGAGGTCCCTAGGAATATGTCAACTGTCAACTTTCAATTTTCAAATTTATAACCCCTCAGTCAAATTTTCTCCCAACAATCTGAATAATATACAGTCTTATGAATTGACATTCTAGAATACTTTTATTCCTCAGTTATTTATGAGGTAAATATTTTTGAATTAAGTTTCATAATTTTCTCTGGAGTGGTGTGAGAGAAACAAATCCAGCAGGAGTTAGTGTAACCCTTCGCAACAGGAACCGTAGCAATCTAGCCCATTAGTTGCATGAGAGGTCCTGCATTATTAGCCTAGTGGTAGCAGCCCCCCACCCCAGACACCCCAGCAATTATATCAGAAAATGGAAGGGACTGTTGCAATTTCCTGGCTATTGGCTGATGTCAGTTAAAATCATTAGTCAACTAATTAATATGAGACCAGTGCAATTCAATGGTAATGGACCCTGAATCACAAAGGAATGGCTTGCTGAGAGCCGTCAGCACTCCTGTGACCCACACCCTGAGATCTTCATTCCGCCCTTTGGTCTGGAGTCCCACCGTAATCTTGGATCTTTGATGCTAGCAGTCACAGCTCCTGGTGGAACTGGCAGACACTGATGAACTGCCATCCTCTGAGTGGACTTCCGTTGCCAAGGACCTGAATCCCAGGGAAGATCTTCCTGGCCACCTATGTGCCTGAAGATGTCCAACAGCTATCATGGAATTGATGCGATTTCTTTGATTCTGTGACCAATAGAGGAGACCTTGTCAGAGTGATTAAATCTCACTTTTAGTACAAATAGACAAATACTTTGAGAGCCCAGAAGGTGAAAGTGCCATCCCTACCCGAAACATCAGGTCTAGGTGACGTTCTAAGCTATGCAACCAAATGTACCTCATGCCTAAATCCAGGGCCATTTGCCCAGCTTCTGGCTGGTTGCCAATTTAGCCATGAAAGGTACAGTAGTTTAATTGGCATTTTGCTTTTATATAGCATGTTTAAAATAGAAAAACATTCAAAGGTAATTCAAACAAGCAAATATGGTGAGTTTTAGAAAATTTTAGGAGGGTTAGCCAAAAATTTAGTCAGAAGGGTTGGTTTTAGGGAAGGACAAAATGTGTAGAAGAGAAGTAGAGATAGATTTAAGGAAGGAAGCAAAGAGCGTAACACAATGGTGTGGCCACCAGTGGTGAGGTGGTGGGAAAAATAATGTACAAAGGTGCAAGGCTGAGGAATTGAAATTAAGGGAGAGTTTTGTAGGGCAGTAGGAGATTGCTGAGGTAAAGAGATAACAGTACTCTTCAACATTATAAATGTAATGTTCAGGATTTTTCTTAGAAGGGACTTGGCAGATGGGGAGACAAGCAAGGCAAAGAGGAAGCAACTAGAGAGCATGACTCTTTCTCAAACTGTTTCAAGTTGCAACAATGCTTCCAAGTGCTGGGACTGCATCCTATCCTGCAATTCTCACCCCACTGTATCTATAATCATAGCTAGCAGTGTCATATTTTTGTGCTGATGTAAAGGTGTTGGCTAAATCCTTACCTCCCCAAGCACAGCTAAATCCCATAAATTGCTTTATAAAATAGGCTTTGTACTCCAACAGGAAGTATTATTAAATCTGGGTTGCCCTACCACGTTATTGCCAAACCACAGTTTATGATCCCAGCTGATGCTAATACTGAAAATGTAGGATCTCAGAGTCATACCTGGTTTGATAGACCATAAGTTTAATTTCCCTTTTTGTTTATTGTGGTGATCAGTCACAGAATATATTCACAAGAGGCTGCCAATTTAAGAAAATACATAAGCATTTCTTATGCACAAGGTTAAAAATAGAAGGAAAGAGCCAAACGTTTTACTCTTAATGAAAACCTTACACCCTTGTCTCCACTTTAAAGCTCCTTGTTTAATTAGCATGACTGTAATCAGTTTTTTTTGACAATTATCTGCATTCACTCAGTTTTCTTTTGTTAATGTCTCTTCCTGAGATTTCTCTTACTGACTTCTAAGCCATTCAGGATTTTTTTTCTGCTTTGACAGTTTTAACAACTGCTAAACTAACAGCGCATGAGTTGTTAGACCTTTTCTGTCCAAATGAACCTACATATTGTCTGACTGCTCCTGGACCATTGTAACTTTCAATGTTACTGTTCTCTCTTGTACCCTTCCATTTTTGCTCATGCTCTGAACCATTCACTTTGGGGTTTTAAAAATGTCCGTTAATGTATGTAAACAATCCAACCCTCCACACACTCTTTCAGAATGTATCTAAAATGAAACTTAAAAAAACATGTTCTCTCTCTTCTTAATACACAATACTGAAATACAGATCTAGATTGGTAAAAAGCCCCAGGAGGCACTATAAGAGAAAGGACTGGCCTATGTTCTTGGACTCAGAGTGGGAGGCAGATAGTGATCTCAGAATATGAGTTCCCTGATTGGACCAGGCTAACAGCCCCAATCAGGGAGCCCTGGCTGACAGATATAAACAGGAGTGTCAGAGGTTCTGTTCACTCTGAGAGCTGGATCTGAGGGAGCTGGATCAGTGTCAAGGGTGGCTTGGTGACGGGATACCAGCTTCTGTAGAGTTATTTCAGTGGTGACGAGAGTAAAGCACGTTCCTGAAGAAACTTGCTTGCAACAGTTGTCTTTGAGTGGAGGTAAGCATTTCTATGCCTTTATTTTGGAAGCTTGACTCGTTTGATCCTGCCATCAAAGACTGGGCCCAATGTGTAGAAAGAGTGTGTTTTTTTTTCTGGGCAGATGAAAAGCAATGATTTATTTTCCTGATAGCTTGTCGACTCACTGCTTTTTTGGCTATTTGGAACCTAGCTTTTTCTGAAGCATCAGATACTGAAACCTTTCAAGAGTTGATGGATTTGCTTAAGGAATGTTATGACCCCAAGTTTCCTCTAATTTTGAGACGCTATCATTTTTTGCAATTGCAATTCAAGAACCAGTGGAATCCATATTGGGATTTTTTGAGTAGGTTAAAACAACTGGCAGAGGCATGTGACTTTGGCTTAACCCTTAATAAGATGCTGAGACCATTTGGTATGTGGGATTAATGATGTAACCATGCGAAAGTGCCTACTAACTGAAGCCCAACTGGACTTCAAACAGGCACTACAACTTTATTATGGAAAATGTGACAAGGAGAGCATTTGAGGTGCAGGGTATTCCAATGGAAGTGGACACCCTTGTCAGTTCAACTGAGCCTTGTCAGTTCAAGTGGGGACACCACTTGAGTGGAGGCTATCACTTGAGTGAAGGCAATTGCATAGCCTCACTCAGGACATACCCTGAACAGAGGAGCTCTAGGTCAGGTCACAGCAAAACCCCAAAACAAAGCCAAGCCTCAGTCAAACAGTGTAAATTTTCTTCAGGATCCAAGCCAGCAAGCCATTGTAGTTGCTGACATTGTGGGACTTGCGACAGCAAAGGAGTCCTACCAGACCTAAATTGAGTAAGAGAACTCATAGGCCGGTATCCAGAAGAGTGCACATGGTGGAATGCCCACCTACATCTAGTTTAGAACAGTTAAATTGCTTAGCAACATCCAAATCAGAACCAATCAAAATAAATGCCTGATTAAATGGTCATCAGTTCCAGGGAGATCGTTACCGGCACAGCAGTTTCAGTGATCGCAGAAACAGTCTCTAACAAAATTCGATCTTGACTTCAACCCTTACGTTTGCGCAAGATCTTAGCTAGACCGAGAACCTGTACTGGGTAACCTTTACAAATTAAGGGTGCAGCTTTGGTTCCGGTCTCTTATGAGAAGCAGTTGGTTCAGTTACCGCTGATTGTAATAAAAGGCTCAGGCCCAAGCTTGATGGGGTGAAATTGAGATTCACCTAGATTGGCTGAACATTTGTTTGATTAGAAATGGTTGTCTGAGTGAAGCCCTAATTAAATACTCAGAATACTTTGAGAAGGTTTAGGGACTATGAAAAGAGGCAAGGCCACCTGGCATGTTGACCAGGAAGAAATTCCATGATTCTGCAAGGCTTGCCCAGTGCCAGTTGCCTTACGGGCAAAAGTAGAGGCAAAAATCATTAAGGCTGGAAAACGAAGCAAACTTCACCCAGTCCAGTTTGCGGAGGCAGCACTGGTTGTACTGGCTTTGAAGTCCGACGGGTCGCTTCGCCTTTGGGGGGATTTTAAACAAATGGTAAACTGTTTTTCACAGCTGGATAACTACCCAATCCCTCACATAGAGGATTTATACGCAAACTTGGCAGGGAGCTGTCCTTCACAAACGTGGACGTGAGCCATGCATACTTGCAATTGCACTTAGGTGAGGACTTCCAGAATTATGCTACAATTAATATCCATAAGGGTTTGTACCAATTTGGAGACTGTCATTTGGGCTGTTGTCAGCAATTTTTCAGCAATGGCAGACATTTTGCAAGGTCTACCCCAGGTCGCCATTTATTGAGATGACATGTAATAACAGGGGCGACTAATAAGGAGCACTTGGAAAACTTGGACATAGTCCTTAGACGGTTCTCCCAGGCGGGTGTACGCCTAAGAAGGGAAAAATGTGTGTTCCAGGCAGCCCAAGTGACCTACTTGTGCTACAGAGTCAACAAGACCAGGTTACACTGGTTTAAAGATAAAATGGGGGTAATCAAAGGTGCCCCACTTCCCATGTCTGTACTGGAGCTTAGGTCTTTCCTTGGGGTTGGTGAATTATTATGGAAAGTTCATACATAACCTGGCCTCCATCCTGGCACCAATAAAGGATTAGCCTTTATTAGGAGTTGCCAAGCCATAGCTTTCGGGGAAGTGAAGAAACAGCTATTATCCTCTAAGGTGTTGGCATACTATGATCCCAAGTGAGATCTGGTATTGACATGCGATGCCTCCCCATACAGCATCGGGCAAGTGTTAGTTCATAGATGGCCCAGTAGAGGGCAATGCCCAGTATGCATCAAAGACTTTGGGAAATGCAGAGCGCATATAGACCCAGATTGGGTAGGAAGGTTTGGCGGTCATATTTGGAGTCAGAATCAAAATCAGAAGTTGCCGGAAAAGCTCAGCAGGTCTGGCAGCATCTGTGAAGAGAAAATCAGAGTTAAAGTTTCGGGTCCAGTGACCCTTCCTCAGAACTTCCTCTCTGGAAGTGTTGGTCACAGATAACAGGCCATCGTTTACCAGCAGAGAATTTGAATGTTTCCTAAAGTCGAATAGAATTCAACATATAAGGCAGCTCCATACCATCCATCATCCAAAGATCTGACAGAAAGAGCACTCCAAACTTTGAAGGCAGTCTTAAAGAAACAGCCTATGGTTTCACTAGCTACCAAACAGTCCTGGTTCCTATTTGATTACAGTATCAGCCCTCGTGCAACCACAGGGATAGCTCCAGCAGAGTTGCTAATGGGGAGAAGACTCCGCTCCAAATTAAATCTGATCTTCCTGGACCTGGAGAGGAGGGTGAAACAGCATCAGGAACACCAAAGCCAGACATGAGACTCCGCCAAACGAGAGAGACAGTTTACTACACGGAACAAAATTTGGTGTAGGAACAACCAAAATGGCCCTGCGTGGGTAAGAGGCATGCTTGACATGAAGTCAAGACCAGTGAGCTATAAGGTTTGGGTAGGTGTGACGGCCCTGAACAAGGACTTAGACCACATGAAAGCCACAGATTCATAAATGGTGCAGGAGCAAAATGTGCCCTGCTTCTTGGAACGGTCGGAAAGGCTGTCAGAACCCATGGGTTGTCCCTATCCATCAAACATTGAAGAAACCTCTGAATCTGAGATGCACATGGCAGATCTCACCTCTTCGACACCTTTGCCACAGGAAGAAGGGAGTGACTTTCTCCTGAAATACTCCTGGCACAAGAGGTGAGCTCCTGTGCTTTACGAACTGTCTATATCCGATCCAGAGGTGGAGGAACCTGACCTGGTGCTGAAATACCCCAGGAGGCGCTGCAAGAAAAAGACCAGCCTATGTCCTCAGACTCAGGGGGCGACGGATATGTTGATTTCAACAAGGTCAGGCAGGTGTTCATCATAGAACATGTATTCCCTAATTGGGGGTGTTGATCTGGTCCAACCAGGATGCCATGGCTGACAGATACAAACAGAAGTGTCAGAGGTTCTGTTCACTCTGAGAGATGCGTCTGAGGAAGCTGGACCAGTGTCGAGGACTTTCCACATATAAATAAAGGATGATTGCTGATAGGATACTGGCCGTTGTGGAACTATTCCATAGATTTACATCATTCTTCCACTTTAGGACTCAAGTTTTTAAACTATAATAATGTACTAGGACTTTTCATGAACAGAATTAGTTCCAGTGATATTGTATTTCCTGCGAAGCATCATATACCAAACTCTGAACTGCAGTATCTTGTCATCTCCATTTTGGAACATATTTAACTGATATATATAGCTGCATTTGTTTGTATTCTTCCTTTTGTGTAATAAACTTCGTTTTTTTTTGTTAAAGAACATCTGCAGCCCTATGTGAACATGTTTTACAGACTAACTACACATTAACCAACCCCAAAAATTAAGCATTTGATGTATTATGTCTGGTTTTGTTTTTGGATCTGCCTTGACTGGTATTGCCATCAATTGGGATCATAACAACATGGTGAAGATATGTCCAGAATGCTGTTAGGCTTGAGTTCCAGGATTTTGACTCAGCAGCTATGAAGGAATGGTGATATATTAGCAAGTCAAAATTGTATGGGATTTAGAAAGGAACATCCATGTGGTGTTCACAGGCATGGGCTGCATTCGTTCTTCTGGGTTGTTGAGTTTGAATGGTGCTATAATGAAGCCTTAGCAGTTTCCTTCAGTGCATCGTGTAAATGGTACACATGGCAACCACAGTGTTCCAGAAAAAAGTTAATGTTTAAAGCATCCGATCTCCTCACCACCAATATTCAGTAGCAGCAGTGCGTACTATCTACAAGATGCACTGCAGAAATTCACCAAAGATCTTCAGAGAGCACCTTCCAAACCCACGACTACTTCCATCTGGAAGGACAAGGGCAGCAGATATATGGGAACACCACTACCTTCAAGTTCCCCTCGAGGCCACTCACCATAGTGACTTGGAAATATATCGCTGTTCTTTTACTGTTGCTTGGTCAAAATACTGGAATTCTCTCCCTAAGGGCATTGTGGGTCAACCCACAGCAGGTGAGCCTCAGCAGTTCACCACCTTCTTAAGCGTAACGAGGGAGGGGCAATAAATGCTGGCTAGCCAGCGATGCCCACATCCCACAAATGAATAAATAAAATAAGTCATCAGGTATCAGTCGAGTGGGTGGTTTATCTTGAATGGTGTTGAGTTTCTTTAAGTGTCGTTGGAATGCAGTAATCCAGGCAAATGAGGTGTGCTGATCAGTTCCTGACTCGTACCTTGTGAATGGTTTGATGACTTGGGTGTCAGGAAGTAGCTATAGTATTTATGTAGCTGCTGCAGTCACTTCTGTAATCAAAGTCATTTGTTCAGTCATAATCTTTTTCTCTAACCTATGAGAAGTTATTATTCATGTTCTTTTTAGCTCATTCTTCTGTGGTAGGGTAGCTCTTGATTATATGATTAATAATAGATATGTTTTATGATTCCCATGTTGATATGATAACCTTTGTTTAATTGTTTCTGCAGATACAAATGAAAGACTTTGAGTATTTTGAAGAAGGTGGCTGTATTTATAGAAGACGTCAGAATGGTGAGTCTTTAATAATCAGCATTGAAACCACACCTGAATAGAACCCAATTGAAGCCACTCAAACACTGATACAAGAAGAACCTTTTCACCTCAAGGATATTGGTTTAAATGTGTCTATGAGGCTAATCACCAACAACCTTCTTATGGCCTGTGAGGACGATTCATTACGTGGTGCTGTAACAATCTGAATCTTGTGAACCACTCTTGGTGCGTACAAAAAGAATAATTAAATCTGTCACCGGTCAATGACAATATATTTTAACACTGCAATTCAATTTATTTTGTTCTTGATAGACTATAAAATCTTCTCTCCTAAAAGCACCCAGTTTTGTTGAAGTACTGCTCCAGAAGTGACTTATTCCCATTATATTAATACATCCAGTTATTTGCATGGCAATGAATTCTGTGATATTGATTCAAAATTAAATTCTTCAGTTGTTCTATCTTGCACTCTATAGTGTGAAACATTATTTATCTCCAAAGGTGATCAAATTCCTGAAGTTGTCTTATCCTTGGATCAGCTGCAGTTCCTTCAAACAACAGAAGCTCAATTTCAACATATCAGAGTCTCACCAAATCAGAAGTATTTGGCTTCAAGCATACGTACTTCATCGGATGAGTCTACTTGTGTTGTAGTCAAACTTGTTCCTAAGCCAGAAGTAGTGCATGTTTTGCCAAGAACATTTAGTTTTGGTGAGTCTAACACATTGCATCATGGCTTCATACTTACAATGTTTTCCTCAATTTATCTGTTTTGTTCTGTTCTGTGGATGAGACAGTATTTGCGGAACCATTTCTATGTGCAGTAAATCAGATGAGGGTTACAGATTGTAAGGCACTACTCAAAAGACATTGCATTTTCTGTTTGTCGGTACAATATTCCCTCCTTGTCCAATACCCATAAATTCATATCAACTGATCGTTCATTCATTTGCCAGTAGCTCCATAAGACAGTTCCTGAATTTCATTCTGAAATGATGGCCTGGGTTTTCAGAATCAGGACACTCCAGGGACCTCCCAAAATGACAGAAGGGACCCACATCGGATATCCCAAGTTTCACCCCCATTTCTGACGGAACCTATTGTCTCTAGAGAGGGAATGGGGATAGGATGTGACTCTGTCAGGAAAATCAAAACATAACAAGGCCATTTGAAATCAGCACTAAGTTCAAACTGACCCCATCTTTGCTTTGCAGGAACAACATCTTTATCCTGCAGTGTAGGAGTTAGATATTTAGAAAAGTTGTAAATGCCCTTGAGGGAAAAATTGGATTTGTAGAACTGTCAAGTTATTTAAATATCCAGTCCATTACAAATTGGGGGAAAAAAAGCCTGCCTGTGTCTGTGAAAATTTTTTAAAAATGTGTTCTAAAAGTTTCAGGAATTGTATGTTGATATCAACACTCCTTTCAAAGCTGCTACCAGCATCTCTGTACGCAGTCACATGGCAAACCATTGACAACATTGATTCTTGGTTATGGAATCATAGAATCCCCACAGTGCAGAAGCACGTCATTTGGCCCATGGTGTCCACCAAGACCCAGCTCCCTGTAACCCTGCATTTCCCATGGCTAATCCATCTAACCTGCATATCACTGTGGGCAATTTAGCGTGGCCAATCCACCTAACCAAGAGTGAAATCAAATCCTAGTGTTGTGAAGGAGCAGCGCTAACCACTGAGCCACCATGCCGCCCCTTCTGTACCTGCATACTAGTTTTCTATGATTCATTCATACGATATCCAAATCCCACTGCAACCAAGCACTCTGCTGTTTCTCTCCATTTAGAAAGTAAGTTGCCTCTTCATTCTTCCAGCCAAACTGGATAACTTCACACTTATCCATGTTAAACTACATCTGCTAAATTTTGGCCAATTCACCTAACCTATCCATATTGATTTGTAAATATTTTAATTTATTTATTGCAACTTATTTTGCCATCTATTTTAGTGTCATCTGCAAGGTGGCTGTCATACCTTCTATCCCTACATTGAAGTCATTAATATAGATTGTAAATAGTTTGGACCCGCGGTCCAACCCTGTGGTTCCATCCCACTAGTTATATCTTGCAATCCAGAAAAAGACCCATTTACCCCAACTGCTTTCTGTTGATTAGCCAATCCTCTATCCAAGCTAATAAATTGCTCCTAATCCCGTGCAATCTTACCTTGTGTATTAAGCTTTTAAGTGGCATCTTATCAAATGCATGTAAAATAGCAATGTTATAAGTCTGAAAGACATCACTGCTGAGCACGGACCTTGGAAGTCTATGCAGACAAAACCAAAATTAGTAGAATCACTTGTTGACGTAATTACATCATTATTAATGCTAGACTATTTTCCATAGTTGATATTATTGTAGTGGGGAGTTATAAATTCACATTTGTTTGACATTTTAAGGAAGTTATTATAGGATTAGCAGTTTTTTCATGTGGGATGATGAATACAAATGTTTACAGAACATAAGAACTAGGAGCAGGAGTAGGCCATCTGGCCCCTCGAGCCTGCCCCACCATTTAATAAGATCATGGCTGATCTTTTTGAGACTCAGCTCCACTTACCCGCCCACTCACCATAACCCTTAATTCCTTTACTGTTCAAAAATTTATCTAGCCTTGCCTTAGAAACATTCAGTGAGGTAAGCTTCAGCCGCTTCCCTGGGCAGGGAATTCCACAGATTCACAACCCTTTGGGTGAAGAAGTTCCTCCTGACCTCAGTCCTACATCTGCTTCCCTTTATTTTGAGGCGATGCCCTCTAGTCCTAGTTTCACCTGCTAGCGGAAACAACCTCCCTGCCTCCACCTTATCTATTCCCTTCATAATCTTATGTTTCTATAAGATCTCCCCTCATTCTTCTGAATTCCAATGAGTATAATTCCAGTCTACTCAGTCTCTCCTTATAATCCAACCCTCTCAACTCTGGAATCAACTGAGTGAATTTCCTCTGCTCCCCCTCCAATGCTAGTATATCTCTTCTCAAGTAAGGAGACCAAAGCTGCACACAGTATTCCAGGTGTAGCCTCACCAGGACCCTATACAGCTGCAGCATAGCCTCCCTGTTTTTAAACTCCATCCCTCTAGCAATGGCAAACAAAATTCCATTTGCCTTTTTAATTACCTGCTGCACCTGCAATCCGACTTTTAGCGATTCATGCACAAGGACACCCAAGTCCCTCTGCACAGCAGCGTGCTGCAATTTTTTACCATTTAAAACATAGTCCATTTTGCTGTTATTCCTACCAAAATGGATGACCTCACACTTATCAACATTGTACTCCATCTGCCAGACCTTTGCACACTCACTTAGACTATCTACATCCCTTTGCAGACTTTCAGTGTCTTCTGCACACTTTGATCTACCACTCACCTGAGTGTCATCTGCAAATTTTGACACACCACACTTAGTCCCCAACTCCAAATCATCTATGTAAATTGTAAACAATTGCGGTCCCAACACTGAGCCCTGAGGCACACCACTAGCCACTGACCGCCAACCAGAAAAACACCCATTTACCCCTACTCTTTGCTTTCTACTGGTCAACCAATCCTCTATCCATGCCAATACATTACCTGTAATACCGTGCAACTTTATCTTGTGTAGCAGTGTTTGGTGTGGCACCTTGTCAAATGCCTTCTGGAAATCCAGATACACCACATTCACAGGTTCCCCATTGTCCACCATGCAAGTAATGTCCTCAAAGAATTCCACCAAATTAGTTAAACATGACCTACCCTTCAGGAACCCATGCTGGGTGTTCCCAATGGGACAATTTATATCCAGATGTCTTGCTATTTCTTCCTTAATGATAGATTCAAGCATTTTCCCCACTACCGAAGTTAAGCTAACTGGCCTATAGTTACCTGCTGTTTGTCTACTTCCTTTTTTAAACAGTGGCGTCATGCTGGCTGTTTTCCAATCTGCGGGAACCACCCCAGAGCCCAGTGAATTTTGTTAAATAATTACTAGTGCATTTGCTATTTCCCCCATCACCTCTTTTAGTACCCTGGAGTGCATTTCATCAGCGCCAGGAGACTTGTCTACCTTTAACCCCATTAGCTTGCCCAGCACTGCCTCCTTAGTGATAATGATAGTTTCTAGGTCCTCAGCTGCTATAACCTTCTTGCCATTAGTTTTCAGCATGTTATTTGTGTTTTCCACTGTGAAGACCGACACAAAATAACTGTTCAATGTCTCGGCTATTTCCTCATTCCCAGTTATTAAATTGGCCTTCTCATCCTCTAAAGGACCAATGTTTACCTTCGCCACTCTTTTACGATTTACATATTTATAGAAACTTTTGCTGCCTGTTTTTATATTCTGAGCTAGTTTACTCTCATGATCTATCTTACTTTTCTTTATAACATTTTTTGTGGCTTTCTGTTGGCCTTTAAAGATTTTCCAGTCTACTAGTTTCCCACTACTCTTTGCTTTATTGTATGTGTTTTTTTTTCAATGTGATACTTTCCTTTATTTCCTTAGATATCCATGGCTGGCTCTGTCTTTTCCTACAGTTCTCCCTTATCACTGGAATATACTTCTGCTGAGCATTGTGAAAAATCGTTTTGAAAGCCCTCCACTGTTCCTCAATTGACCCACCATAAAGTTTTTGCTCCCATTCTACCTTAGCTAACTCCTCCCTCATTCCTTCATAGTCTCCTTTGTTTAAGCACAGGACATAGGTACTGGATTTAACCTTCTCACACTCCATCTGTATTTTAAATTCGACCATACTATGATCGCTCCTTCCGAGAGGATCCCTAACTGTGAGATCATTTATTATTCCTGTCTCATTACACAGGACTAGATCTAGGATAGCTTGCTCCCTCATAGGTTCCATTACATATTATTCAAGGAAATTATCGCGGATGCATTCTGTGAACCCCTCCTCAAGGCTGCCATGACTGACCTGGTTTGACCAATCGATATGTAGATTAAAATCTCCCATGATAATTGCTGTACCATTTTTACATGCATTAGCTATTTCTATGTTTATTGCCTGCCCCACCACGATGTCATTATTTGGTGGCCTATAGACCACACCTATCAGTGACTTCTTCTCCCTACTATTCCTAATTTCCACCCAAATGGATTCAACGTTTTGTTCAGTAGAACCTATATCATCTCTCACTACCGCCCTGATATCATCCTTAAAAATCAGAGCAACACCACTTCCCTTACCTTCCTGTCTGTCCTTCCGAACAGTTTGATACCCCTAGATATTTAACTCCCAGTCATGACCATCCTGTAACCATGTCTCTGTATTGGCCACTAAATCATACCCATTTGCCATGATTTGCACCATTAACTCATCCACCTTGTTTTGAATGTTCCGAGTATTCAAATAAAGTGCCCTTATGCCAGTTTTTGCACCTTCTTTTTGGGTCCTATTACCTCCATTACTAACAGCTCTTGAGTTCTTCCCTTTAACTTCTTTCCTAATTTTCAATGGAGTTGAAGCTTCCTCATCACCTGCTAACCTGCTGCTTTGCCTTACATTAATTGTTATTCTCCCTCTATGCTCACTTCTTTCTTCCCCCCTACTTACTAGTTTAAAGTCCTATTAACCACCCTATTTACCCTTTTCGCCAGAACACTGGACCCGGCCCTGTTCAAGTGGAGTCCATCCCAGCGGTATAGATCCCTCCTGTCCCAGATCTGATGCCAGTGCCCCATGAAAAGGAAACCCTCTTTC